GGGGGGAGTAGGGGTGGCCTGGAGTTGCTGGGAGTCCCTAAAGTAGAGAACGAACATCTCCAGAGGCCCAGAGCCTGTAGAGGAAAAGCCTTATTATACCATATATATATATATATATATATATATACATATATATATAGTATTACTATATAGTATTATATGTATTACATATAGTATTATATATTATATGTAGTATTGTATATATGTGTGGTGTGTGTGTGTGTGTGTTCTGGAGCCTGGAGCCGGGCTCTGGCAGGCAGAGCCCGGTTTTCTCGCCCTGGCGGGTGGGCAGGGTCTTCACCCTTGGTCTATGATCTCTCCCCTCCCCCTCCCCCAGGCCAGCGCCCAGCATGGCCCACCAAAGGCGGGCACCGCGTAGGGACGCGGGAGAAGGCTGTGCCAGTCCATCCGGAAGGACCGAGAAAGATGCCATCGGGGTTTTTATTGGGTGCAGTCATGTCACGGTAATGCCCACGCCGAGAAAGCAGCAGCCAGGCAGAGTTGGTGAACCGGCCCCAACGATGGGCTCCAACGAGTGTGAGTTCTGAGTTACATTCCAGGAGGTGACACAGCGCGCTCTCTTGGGGACCACCAGGGATGGCTGAGGTCTCTTCTTCCCAGAGGATCACTCCTCCTCCCCCCATCCCCTCCTCCCCCCCCCCCCGCGCTAGGGAGGGGATTCCTGCCCAGGATTGTATGCGGGTGAGAGTTTCTTTGGCAAACTGCTGGCGAAGCCCAGGACTCTGGGGAGAGCAAGCCATCAGCTCTGCGGAAACTCCATGCCTTTATCTTGGTACGTTAGATTTTGGTATAAGAGCCATTTTCTAAATGGATAGAAGAGGGAAAAGAGAAAATATGACGAAGCAAAGCAGAATTTTTGCTGTAGACAAAGAAAAGAGGAGGGAGGAAAGAAAGAAAGAAAGAAAGGAAGGAAGGAAGGAAGGAAGGAAGGAAGGAAGGAAGGAAGGAAGGAAGATAGATCAGGAGTAACACCTTAGACTTTTTTTTTTTTGGTTGCTAGACTCTTAGAATAAGAGAAGTAGTCCTGAAACGATCCATCAATATCACAGACACAATGTCCTTTTCCGTAAATGTCTTTTCCTTATAGGAACTGAACGTTGTAAACGTATTTCTCTGGAACTAAAAGGATGGTTCTTTTAGCACTTTTTTTATTTTTGGCTTAGGAGTTTACACTTAAGTATCTCCGATTTTTTTCATAACTACCACCGAACTGTTCATAGTGTATTCTTACAAAATAAAATTTCAAAGTAGTTAAAGTTTAAAGGCAGTTACATTATTTAAAGGTAGTCAAGGTAGCTCTTCATTAGCATGTTTTATTTCTCACAGGACTTCCCCCAATCCCGAAAACAAATCTAAAATCGACATTTATACCACACGCACAAAATACCAAGCATATAAATGAAGTTATGCACCTCATACACAATAAATTCTGCTCTCTACACTTTCAGATAAAACATTAATAAGGAGAAGGTTTCCACTGGCATAGAGACAGAAGAAATGGAAGGTGGAAAGGGTACTAAAACTTTTAGGATTGGAGTAAAATTCTCTTGATTTGGTCTGCTAAAGCTAAAGAGGTAAATCAGTTACTGTTTAACATGGTATTTCTACTTAACCCAGTTGTTTTTCTTTTAAATCTCATCTTGAATTAGCAATCTCTCAAATTCAGTTAAAATGCAATTGTTCGGAAGGTTGAGAGAGAAAAGGGTATTAAAAAAAACTTCTGAAAATCTGCTATTAGAAATTTCTCTCATCTCTGTGTGCTTTACATTAACTGCTGTTCTCCAGGAGTTTATAAATCACTCCATCAATCAAGAGTCTATATTCATAAAGGCCTGTAATCTGATTACACCTCTTCCTAACCCCTCTTTTTAAAAAGAATTTTAAAAAGTTGAATTGTCCAGCCAGAGCCATGGCAGAGGCTCGGGAATGGCCCTTCATGATGGCGGTTGGGGGTTTGTGGAGTAGGATGTGGATTGCAAGACAGACCTTTGTCTGGTCACAGAGGTTAGGGGGAGGGCGGGTCTCTGGTGAGGTCGGGCAGGATTTTTATAGGTTCACCTTAAAAGGGCTCACTGCTCTCTGCAGGGTTAATTTATAGGGCTATCGAGGAATATTGGGATTTTTAAGACACTGTGTTTTCCCCATTAATTTTTTTGTTACTGTCAAAAACAAAAACAAACAAGCAAACAAAAACCTCCCTCCTTTCAGCACCTTGTTGGAAAAGGGTGGTGGTGTGGCCAGCAAGAACTTTTGGTCCAATTGAACTGCAGATAGATCCCAGGCTTCCCAAGATATATTAAAATTAAATTTAAAATAAATGTAAGGCATTTAAAAGCAGAGATTTAGGAAGTGGAAGTGGAGCGAAATGTGGGTGAAAGGTACACCTTTCCTCATCCGAACTCGGCATTCCATGGTGGGGGGGGGGAGTTGAAGACTTAAAGAATGTCTCAGAAAGTTTTTAAAAGATAAAATTAAAAAAAAATACAACAACAACTAGAGAATAAGCCAGAGACAGAAAGGTAGGGAAAGGTGGAAGAGAGTAACAGGTGGGTCACTGAAGCCCCTACAGCTCTGATGGTGTGCCCAGACAGGCCTTCTGTGCCTGGCCAGCCCAACCTCTGGGCACCAGAGAAGGTGGGCAGCGGTGGTGGGCTGACGCTCTTCGGAAGACCTCAAACTCGCCATTTTTTTTTAACTCGGAGGGGTGGGGGGGGGATGGAGAGAGGTTGGTCTTCATGCTATAGATTACGTTAAAGGTTCCTTTAAGCACTTTAATGCACAACTAGCTCAGAAATCATTAAGAGACCTAGAGAAGGAGGCAAGAAAAAATACCCTCACACTCACCGGTAATAAGTGTTGACGTGCAGCAGAAATCGATTGAGTGGAACCGAGCTGGTGGCTGCAGCGAAGGCTGGAACAGGAGGGGGTAGAGGGGGGCCCTCTAGACGGCTCCCCGGAACTAAGAGAGGTGGCCTGACTGGTGAGCCACTGAGGAGTAAGGCTCGAAGCCAGGATCAGGTACAACTTTTCCTTCTGGAAATCGTAGCAGCAAAGGAGCCGGAGGCTTCCACCCGTCTCCCCCTCCCCGCCCCCACCACACACACTTCTAAAATCGTGACAACTACTTCCAAACCTGTAAGTCATTTTCTTCTTCTTCTTCTTCCGCAGATTGGTTGATTAGCTGGAGTCGAGTTCTGTGTGAGCCAGCCAAGAGACTAGGCCGTAGTGCGTCCATGTCCATCGTCTCTTCCAAATACCACCCTCTGCACGCCTGGTGAAGCCAATCTGTCCCCACAGGTCTCCTCGGCGCTTCCAAGTCTGGATCCCCAAATCCCAGTTTCTCCCCTCCCACCCCACCCCCACTCCACCCCCTCTCGAGGCTGGGGTGGCGGAGCTCGCTGGGCCCCTGGGGCTCCAGGAGCCAAAGTCCGCCCTTGGGGACCGCTTTCCTCTCCACTGCTCCCGAGCGAATCACAGGGACCGAGGTAACCCTCGTCCAAAGGGCTTTTATCTGTCCCCCCCCCCCCCCCCGCACTTCCCACCCCGACTGCCACATGATTCTGCCACCGGTCACAGGTCGGAAGCAAAGCTTTAAAAGAGAAAGAAAGTTAAATTGCGTTGGGCTCTGGTCTTAAGTCGGGGTATTTTGATCTGCGTCCTCCGTAAGCAGCAGCAACAACTCCTTGCAGAACAAAGACTCAGTGTCTGAGCTCCAAACGCTCCTAGGTTAAAATTTCAGACAAAAGCCATCTAAGTGCAAAAACACAGGTTTTTCTCGACTGAGGCTACTTTTCACTTTCGGATCTCAGGCTTGGTGTTTGTCCTAGCGTACTAGGAAAGGGGAGGAGGGAGGTGACAAGAATAACAAAAGACTTCTCACTCACCCTCCTCCACTCTAAATCCATCTCAACCCTAGTGATGAACTCTTTGGGAACCGGTCCTATTTTGCTACTATTCGTTATGAAATCAAATTTCACATTTTTTTTAAAAAAAGAAGCTGAAAAGAGCTGATGAAGGTGGATCGTGTGCTTCAAGTTCTTTAAAACACTCACAGGGACCTGATTCCTGATTAGACGTCAAAGGATTGGAGGGAGGGCCAGGGCTGTAATTCATCTTGATTTGCTTCATTGTCCCGCAGTTTGCAAACTATAATCCTGTATAATTTCAGGAACAAGCAGGTTTAGAATTAATGGGTCAATATTATTTAAAACAAAACACGGGGATCCTGACCTTTACCTCCACTACATATTGCTGGACAAGACTCAGGAAACTTTACTCTAACCTCTCAACCTCTGGGCTCTTTGAAACGGAAAAAAAAAAGCTGGAGGCTTGTAGTTATTAGAAATGGTCTTTGTTTCTTTTAATGTCTCCAAAGGATTTAGAAATAGTAATGCAATATAGCATGAAGGATCTCTCTACTTAAGCCTTAAAGATAAACGCCGAGCCCTAAATATTTTGAACTGGAGGATTTTTCCTTGTGAATTTATTGGAGATGTATTCCTCCTAAAAAGGAATGTATATAAACTGGACATGTGGACACTCGCACAGATTTCTCCAGAACACTTTACTGGAGGTGTGGCTCTCTCTTCTAATGGAGTAAACCAGAGTCATTGCAAATTGGTGTACTTCTACATTTCTTTCAACCTTCTTCTTCCTCTCTCTCTCTCTCTCTCTGTTTCATTATTTGCTAGCACTAATGGAATCTTCTGGGTTTAAGCAAAAAAAAAAAATCTGAGATACCAGACTTTGAAGTCTTTCTCCTCCACTGTAGGAGTGTTTCCCCCCCCACTTTATTTTTTAGTTTCTGATGAATGAATGGTTATCATTTATTTCTACCAAATTTAAATAAATAGATACCTTACAAGTTTAGCAGGGAGCCAGGGGAGACTGGTTTTGTTTAGGGGGCCAGTAAATAAGACTCCCGGGCTAGGTGACAGCAGAGGGAGGAGAAAGAATCCAGACCAATTTGTATGCAGTATATTTTACTCCCATGAAATAAAACACATATTTTTTCATATTTGCTGAAAAGTAAAACAATAATATTGTACGAAATGTTATACACAGGGTAGGTTGTACATAGCAGTTTCAGAAACATCATTGCATCCACCAGAGAAACTATTCTAAAACTGATATTCACACATTTTTATAATAATAATAGGTTAGAAACATACAGTGTGGCATTTAGTATATACATTCCCTTGCTCGCAAGCGAAAAAACCTAATCGCTTCTGTATAACATGCTTTATTTTAAAGCCTAACCTTTAAAAACACTGTTGTGATATTACTAACAACTGCTTTTATAAAATTAATTTGACATTTCCATATATATACATCCTTTCAGTCATTTTAATGTTAACAAGGCTAAACTTAAAAAATAACAAGCTTATAGTAATGTTAAAATGTCATATCCAGTCAAACGTTTTGTTGGTGTAACATGTCCTTGCAAGTGTTGGAAAGAAATACTTTTGAGTGAAAGATGTCAGACACGGAGACCATTCCTTTGAAATCAAAGGAACTCTCTTTCCTTCTCTTTCCCTCTCTCTCTCTTTCTCTCTCTTTCTCTATCTCTCTTGAAATCAGTGGTTTCCTTTTCCCCCCCCTCTATCCTCTTTTCCTCTGCCTTTCTTTAGTGCGCACGACCTTCTCCCAAGTCTTTTCAAGGGCGGAGCTGCCCCTTCGGCACAGTCCTAGGCTCCCGGCGCAGCGCGCACGCGCGCGCGGCTCAGGCTCACACCGGCCGGTCCACGGCGTACTGGCAAGCGCTCAGGTTGGACGCCGGGTTCTGCACGCTGGCATAGCCAAAGCTAGAATGCTGCTTGGCTTTCAGTCTCAGGCTGGCCAGGCTCGAGTTACACGTGTCCCTATAAACGTACGGCGGAGTCGGCGGCGCGTAAGGACAGGCGGGCGTCGGCACGGCGGAATTCAGCGATGGGCTGCTCAGGTTGTTCAAGTTATTCAGGCTATTGAGACTGGAGCCCGGGACGCCCGTCACCGCCGAGGGCACCATGCTGGACGACATACTCATGGACGAGATGGAATTGGGCGGGGAGAACATACTCTGCGACGACAGGGGGTTGACGTTCATAGAGTTGAAGAAGGGGAAGCTCTTGGTGGACAGCGAGGCCGACGTGAGGCCCTTGGCAGCCCAGTTGTTGTAGGAGTAGCCGGGGTACATGTCGTCGTAGGGCTGCATGAGCCCGTTGAATTGTGGCCCAAAGCCATTCTTGCATAGCTCGGCCTGCTGGTTGCGCTCTCGCTTTCTCCATTTAGCCCGGCGGTTCTTAAACCAAACCTGAGGATGATGAGGGGACCGGAAAGGAGGGGGAGTGTGTGTGGGGGGCAAGGGAACAAACAGAGGCCACAGAACAGATTAGTAAAATCATGATCGATCAAAGCATCGGAGCCCACCCCCCTCCCGCCCCCCAGCCGCGCACGCGCGTCTGTCTGCGTCTCCGCAGCCCACACTGCTAAGCTACCGAGGCCTGTCCTGGGTGATGCAGCCCGCTCCGCTCGGACGATCCAGGGCTCAAGGCTGGGTCACAATCCCTAGTCCGACGCCCAGTGGCCTGCGGGCGGCTGGATCGCTAACCCGGGCCCTTCCCCTGGATCCCAGAACACTTCGCCTAAAAGAAACCGGGATCAGACAGCTTTGCGCCCAACCGTTCCCCGACCTGGCAATCTTGCTTCCGTTCCAAAGCCACAAACCCAGCGACGAGGATCAGGGCCTGGGAGGGCACCTGAGGGCCTGCGCTCCCTCCCGCAGCTCCTCGCTCCTCCCTAGCACCTCCGCCGCCGTTCTCCACACATTCCCACCACCACCTCGTCCCCGCCAACGCGGTCCTGAAACCCGGGCCTGGACACCGCATTCTTCTACGCTTAGAAAAAAAAAAAACAACAACCAAATAAAAAAGCTCCGGGTTAAATCCCACGAGCTGGGCGCGTAAAAGTTGGAGAACCCACCGTGGGTCCATCTACAGCCCATTCCCTCCACTTCCTACCCTCAGAGCCTCCTAGCTCTCTCTGCCCACCTAAGGCCTGGCCCGGCCCAGTGGGATAATTTGGTTTCTCCGGTGATTGCCTAGGCAGGCCAGACCCCATCTGCGTCCCGTGGCCCTGCCGCAACCCCTCTCCCAATCCACATCGGGCCTGCTGGTCGCCCCAGACGGCGGCTTTTGTGTATTGGAGCAAGGCCTGGCTCCTCGTCCCTAAGCAGACACCAGTGATGTTTCACATTACACATCTCCGGCGGGCCCAGCCGCCTAATCCGCCTTTTTTTTTCCCTTCCTTTTTCCCCCCCTTCCATTCTCAATTTCCTTTTTATCCTCCGTCCTCTGCACCCGTCTGCTATAAAAAGCACGCCTCCTTCCCTCCCACTTGGCTGACCCAAAGAACGAGGGGGAGAGAGAAACGTGCACCGCGCTGCATTGGACGTGGGAGGGCTACAGAAAAGCCAGTGGAGTGGAGAGGCTTTTCCCAAAGAGTCCAGAGAACCACGAACGGCCCTTTCATTTTAATGACTTGCCATTTCCACCCCAAGCGTTCTAAACTTTGCCCAGGCGAGAGGAGTACGTGCAAGGCCCGTTCCCAGACGCTCTAAAGCGAATGAAAGGCTGACCTTGCGCAAAACCACGAGGTCCCTGCCCGAACGCTCGGGCCCCAAGCGGTTAAAGTAAAACCATTTCCAACTCAAGCCGGGCTCTTTTATCTACTAGCGTAGCCTCAGACCCCGCACAAGTGCCACCCAGAATTTCCTTCCCTTTACGGTGGGAGCGCCTCTGGGTTTTTATTTCGTTATTATTATTATTATCTAAGGGTCTCTTTATTTTTCATTCTTTACCCAGAAGATTTTTATTTTTCTATACAGAATACATGAAACAAAACCAAAACCAAAAAGGCCTCTGGATGCTGCTTAGTTCTGTTTTCTGCTTCCAGAAATCCTAACAATTTTGGAAATTTCCATCGACCAGCCTAAACCAGGATGTTGCTATTGTTTGATTTTATTTAATCTCTCTCTCCTTTTTTTTTGTTGCCAATCCATAAAGTGCAGATTTGCTACAAAGCTAAGGTAAGCTCTCTTTTTTTTAAAAAAAACAAAACTATGATTATAATTAAGCGGAGGGGTGAATCAATCTTCAAAGAGTTCAACTCCTGAGAGAAGATAAATAAACCAAATTGAAAAGTTCCCCCCCCTTTTTTTTCTTTCTAAGAGAGCTAGCAGAATCGTAGTTTGCTCGCGGAAATTACAGAACTAGGGGAGGATAGGGTGTGAGAGAGATCAGAGCGGTCCCCCCCCCCAAAAAAAGGCCTTGTAAGGTGTGCGACCGAGGCCCAGAGAGAAGAGGCTGGGCCAGGCGGGGAGGGAACGCTGTTTAGTGAGGGCCCACCCTTGCTTGTCTCGGGCGGGTTTTCCTTGTTAAAGGAGCACAGGTTGGAGCCTGTTTGCCGCTTTTGGCCGGGAGGGATTTTATTAGTGCTCGTCTGGCGACTGTAAGCCGGGAACACAATGCCCTTTGGAGTGGAATGCCCACGCGGCCCAGCTTGGGTAGGCGCAGGATGGCGGGCAGAGAGCGGGTGCGGCTCCGGGCGCCAGTGCCTGGCTGGGGCAGCTCGGCCTCGGAAGGGGGAGCTGTTACCTTGTTACCCTCGCTGCTCGGAAGCCAGGCGCCCCAGCCAAGCGGCTCCCCGCCCGCGCCTTGCAGGGGGCCCGAGCCACCACCTCCATCCCCCCCCCCCCTGCCCCGCACAGCTACCGGGCCTGCAGCTCCACCATGCCCGCAACCCTCTCCCCAAAACTGAATTCCTGGCTCCTACCCGGACTCGGGCTTCCGTGAGATTGGTCCACACGGCGATTTCTTCGCGCGTGGACATGTCGGGGTAGCGGTTCCTTTGAAAAGTGGCTTCTAGCTCCTGCAGCTGCTGGCTGGTAAAATGAGTCCGCTGTCGCCGTTGGCGTTTCTTCTTGGAGGGGTCTTCGGCGCCCACGTCTTCATTCTTTCCCTGCTGGCTCTTATCTTTCTCTGAAAACGAAACACACAAAGACTTGGCTCAGAGGGCCCACCTGCAACCCGCGTCTTCCCCCTGGACCCGACGGCGGCCGAGGCAGTGCGGAACGGTGCGGTGCGCGGCCCGCCGGCCGGCGGCTCGGACATGGCCAAGGGAGCCCTGGGTCGGTGGGGTGTGCAGATGAAAGTGTGGGTGTGTGCGCCCCATCTCCTCCCCTCCCCCGCGCAGCGCCCGCGCGTTTTATTTACATGTTTATCTCATGGAGGCGGCACGATCTTTTTTTTTTAATAGCCCGCGCTTTCAAAGTGGATTTCTCCGCCTCTGTGCGCAGACATACCAAAGTCTCTGGGGACGCGCGCGCGCGCGCGTTTTACAGACTCCCCCCCCCCAACACGTATTCCCCCCCCCCCGAGAAATCTCCGATTTCCATGCGGTTTGGGAAAGGCTTGGAGACGTAGACGCTGGGATTCGATTAGGCACTCAAGTTCGCCAGCTCTTTTTTTGGGGGGGGGTAAAGTAGGAGGGAGGGTATGGGTAAGGGAACCTCTCGGAGATCAGCATTTCGGAGTGGTTTCAGAAAATCCTTTCCTAACCAGGGGAGCGCTTTCCTTCAGAGTCGAGCAAGAGTGGAGGGGGGGGTGGCCTCCCAACGCCCTTGAATCAAGAGGTGGAACTCTGGTGACCCAGGACACAGAAAGGAGGCCAGGTTAGGAGGTGGGTGGGGGTGGATTGCACGAGACATTCGCGCCCCACGAGCCAGGTTAGAGAAGGTAGAGTGTAAAGACCGGGTCTTCAGAATCCCGGCTCCCGGAAGTTCTGCAGCGATCCAGCGGGACGACCACTCCCCCACCGCACTTCCCCCCCCTTCCTCCCTAAGAGGGGCGATTTCCTCGGGGCGGGATGGGGAGGGCGCTGAGATCCAGGGACCTGGCTGTGCCGGGCGGTTTGGGAGGTGTCCGCGGGGCGGCGAGGCGCCTTACCTGTGGTCTCTGGGCTGGAGGTGTCGGAGATGGTGTGCACCTCTAGCCTGTGCTTGGAGGAGTCCAGGGAGCGGGGCTGACCGGGAGCCAGGACCGAAGCCATGGCTAGTGGCTGGGGATGGTGACAGGAGGCGGACGAGGAGGCGGCCAGCAGCTTGGAACCGACCGCACGGTGCTCCGAGTGCAGCGGGCCTTTCATGCAGTTCATGGACGAGGGAGTGAGCAGCGCTACGAGTCCTGGGCTCGCGCCCCGCGACCCCCCAAGGGGGTGTACCGCGCCGCCCGTTCCTGGATTGCGCTCTAGGCGCGGAGTTTCCCTCCTCCCCACCCCTGAGCTGGCGATCGGGGCTAGAGCCTGGGGACGTCACCCCCGCCAAGTCCTGCAGCCAAGCCGCCCCCTGTCTCCTCCGGAAGGCTCAAAGCGGGAGAAGAAAAAAAAAAGTCCAACAACCGAGTGTCAGCGGCGAGCAATCGGAGACATGGGAGGGGGGGAGGGAGTGTGGGCGGGAGGGCACCCGCTCCGAGCGTCTTTGGGGAGCAGGCTTCGGAGATCCAAAGCGAAACAAGAACGGGCCAAGACCCCCCTCGGTCCCTCCCTCCCTCCCCCAAATACCTCTCCAATAAGGAAAGCTAACGCCGCTCGCGCTCCGCCCGCCCCCCGCGCGGCAGCCCTGACAGCGAAGTGTCAAGAGTGACAGGGACAGGTAGCTGATATTAGATCTCCCGCAGCGGAGGCCTGGGCCACGGCAGCGGCGCGGGACCCCCCGAGCACACCCCCCCCCGGCAGAGCGCATGCACACACCACCCCCCTCCGCGGGCCCGTCGAGCCGGAGCCGGGCCCCAGCGCTGCTCAGCTCCAAGCACCCCCGCCAGCGTCCGACCAGATCTGCGGCTCCGCGCTTCCCTGTTGGCCTAACATCTTAAAACCAGAGGCGGGCTTCCTGCTGCTGAGACGTCACGCTGCAGCTGCCCTCCCCGGCGCTCTCCGCCTCCGCCTCCTCCTCCTCCTCCTCCTCCCTAGACCCTTCCCCCCGGCTGGGAGTGACGTGACTCCACACCAATCCCGAGGCCCCGAGCCGCCCTGGAAGGCCTTGTGCTGTCTGCACCTATCAGCGGTGCGGGGCCGGCTTAATTCCTAGCTGCGCCCACCCGGTCTCTACAGGCAAGTTCTTGGAGAATTCTGCCCCTGCCCGGCCACAGGCGATCTGGCTTTAAGATAGGTGCTGGGGATGGAGGAATGGAACTTGGAAGGAAAAGCGTTGGAAGGATCCACAAGTCACCTTGCCCCCCCTCCTGCTTTTGTGTCTCCTGACATCTATTTGTAGTGAGAACTCCCCCCCTCTTCCCCTCTCCCCGCCCCGCTCAGCTCTGTCTAAAAAGACACCCCACCTAGAACTCCAAAATGATGAAAACCTCCACAAATCACCTTTCCGTGCTTAATTCCACTCCCCTACCTCCCACCCCCCAAACTGTCTGTCAGGTGAATGCCGCGCTAATCTAAGGAAGCTTTACTTTAATTGCAAAGGAGATGGGGTCCTGGGGGTGGGGTGGGGGTGGGGTGGAAGGCAGGCTAATAAATTAGAAATCGAGGAGAAAATGGACCCGTCAAAAGAAAATCACTTTGGCTGTAGACGAACAACTGTTTGGTGGTTCACTCTGGATTTATACAAGAATAAAAAGTCGCCTCAAATCACGCCCTGGTAATGCTTATTAGTCCCTAGATAGAAAGCAGCACACAATAGAGGAGAAACCCTAACCCAGCGTTTTGAAAACGCGGAAAGCTTATCCATTCTACTTAACGCTGATTAAGACACATATCCTAGATCTTTCAAATTCCTTGTACACTGTATTAAGCTCGTCCTAACCCGAGAGAGCCATGCTTTAAATTCGACTCTCTTGTTTACTTTATTATCAATCACATTTAAATCCATAGAGCCTGTAGAATCAACAACCTTGAGCTAATTATATATAAAATATGCTTTAATGAATTTCCATACAATTAAGGATGTTGCCAAATAACCAATTTCAAGGATAATTTTTAACAGTCATTTTCTTTTCCTAGGGAACTCAAGACTGTCTGGAATGATTTAAAGTACAGACAGGCAGAGGTATAGAGTGTGCGCTAAGTTTAGATACGACGTTCAATTAGGACACACAAAGCCCTTTTCATTTATATGAAACAACACAAAATCACCTTGGGGGAGTGGTGGAAATCAACTATTTACAGTATTATTCCCAGGGAAATTTTCTATTCCAAGGAAATTAAAGAACTAAGGGCAATATATGCAAAATAAATTTGCAAAGTCTTCTTGCATGGCTGGGACTGTAGCGGAGGAGTGCTCTAGAAAGTAACAGGACCAAAAAAAAGTCCTTTTGTCCTCTGGCTTAGGTCAGTTGAAGAACACAAAGTAATCTCTCTTAGGTTTCTGCATTGACAATTGTTTTATTGTGGAGTTAGTGTTATCATCTTTGTGGACTTGTTTGACGTTACTGTCAATGATTTGCAGCACCACCATAAGGTATCTTCAGCCACAAATTCTCTCCGAATCCTTATTCACCATATTGAAAAACTTACTCAATCTAGCACTGAGCAGAGGAAGCTGACCGCAAATATGGTTAGAAAATTTCTCTCCCCTTTGCTTTGCGTCCAATCATATCTATAAAAATTCCTCCCCCATTTTAAATACACCTGGGAGAAGTTGAAGCAAGCGAGGATCATTTCAAAGTCTTCCCACCACCATTATCTGACTGTAAGAAGCATTTAGCTACTAGGGAATCTTGCTTCAATAGTAAGCTTCCAATCAGCATTTCTGGTTTTAACCTTTTATTCCACTTCTCCCCAGTCCATGCGCATGCAACACACACACACACACACACACACACACACACACTCACCTGCTCAGAGGACAACACAACCCCACGTGACAGGCCTGCATGAACTGAAGCTTCTACCTCTAGCTATATTAGGTTCTGCAATCTTATCACTAAATTATACATATTATACCAGCAGCCTGTTGGTAAAGAAGGTGAAATTAATTTACATTCTGCTCATTATCTGGTGCTTAAATGACGTGTTTTATCCCTGAGATTTGGCAGAAGATCTCCTTCTCAGACCCCACAGCATTCCACTGAAGACAATGTTCTTACATTTGTAGTGGTTTTTAATCTGATAAGACTCTAATTTGCTTAAGTCTTTTAAATAAGGGTTTTAAATGTTTCTAGCCATTTTCTTATTGAATTTCCTCTAATTCCCCCAAGATCATAAAGTATATGTGTAAAGTAAATATTTTCTCCCATTGCACTACCAGCCGATGACCTATAACTAAGTCAATAAGAATCCAGCTCTTTTTGGCCCAGTGTGTTTACTAATCATATTCCAGATTCTTCTTCTAAACCTCAGTATGAGTCCTATGATACCATTTCCCTTAAAACTTCATGAATACACTCCATCATATCAAACAATGAAAAAAATTCCATTATAGACAGCATTTTCTCTCCCTTGTTTCAGGATTCAAATCCCAGAACTGCAAGAAAAAGAAAAAAAATCAACAAAAAACAAAAAAACACCCCCCCAAACTTTAGTTTTGGAGGGAATGATATGTTTGAAGTGTGGATATTTTTTCAAAATGCTCACCCCTCTTCCCCCGCCAAAAAACCTGAGATGCTCTGAAGAGCCATATACATTTCTCAGCTCTGTCTTTTATGATATACGTAGCTTTTGTTGTTGTTAAGCTTGGATGGTTCTGCTTTTCCTATGGAACTTTCATCCTGTCAAACCTACACACACAAGAAAGACCTCAGCCAGCCAGCCACCAAAGTGGATGAAAACCCTAGGTGTAACTGACAGCTCCTCATAGTGCCAAAGTAGGAGACATGTTGGAAATGCTTGGGGATTTGCTGGTAGCCCTGAAGCCTAAAAAAGAGCAGGAATCTTCAATTGTCCGGGTCTACTGAAATCAAGAGGACAATAAAGATAATAATCTAGAATACTGGTTGGAGCAAAAACAAAACTTACTTATCACCCATATGTGATATGTATAAATATACGTATATGCATATATCTTTTAAATCTTAGTGTATCTGTGAGCTCCATATTTCCATGCTCCTTAAAGCTTTATTTCTCAAATATAATATATATATATACATTTATCATATATTTATTTATTTATTATGTAGGTTGAGGGCTTGAACTCTGGGCTTGGGCGCTGTCCTTGTGCTCTTCAGCTCAAGGCGAGTGCTCTACCGCTTGAGCCATAGTGTCACTTCCAGTTTTTTTTTCTAGTGGTTTATTGGAGATAAGAGTCTCATAGACTTCCCTGCCCTGGCTGGCTTTGAACTGCGATCCTCAGATCTAGCCTCCTCAGTAGCTAGGATTACAGGCATGAGCCACCAGCGCCCCGCTTTATCATCTATTTCTATAAATATATAGATATAGAATATACAGAATATATTGAGATAGTATCTCAATATACAGAGAATATCTATCGATCTCTGCATACCCATAAACACACACACACACACACACACACACACACAGAGTCCCAGCTTTCCACATAATTGACTTAAAGCGAGGATTTTCTTTGCATTTTTCTAGTTGGAGTCTCAACCCTCTCCTAATCTCCTAATCACTTTATACACTCTGAACAGCCACAATTGAGTGACACTTTTCCCCTGGACCAACAGGACTGACTCCAACATGAAATCTACATGGGGGAAAAAGGAGGGGTGTGGTGGGAGACTAAGAAATGTTCCCTTTACAATGATCCTTTCATGGTGGCATTGGCGGTGGACAGATTCAAATATTTAACCTGCAGAAGACTTGTACCTGGGCACCGGCAGACATAGAGCAGCAAGAAGCTGGATTGTACACTCAAGTTGCAGGCACTACTAAGTTCAACACTACAGGATTGGTGCAAGCCAGAAGATTGGATTCTCGATTGGATTCTTGATTGGAAATGACTGATTTCATCACAGAAAGTTTCAATCCAGAAAAGAATGAGCTTGGCTCTCAGGAACAAGTCTCCCTTGGGGGGGGGGGGACAGGAAACCCAGGGCTAGTTTGAGCTTTTGCGTCTAGGAGATCCCAGGGTGGGTCATCTCAATTGGCTATTCTTGCTTACTCTTTCAAAGAAGGACCCTCCAGGAGAGAAATGTGCCCTGCGGGGTCAGGCATGTTTTGAGCTCCTATTTGCCACCAATTACCATTCTTAAAGTCTTATTTAACTGCACACTATTTAGTGTTACGTTTCTATCCCTCTTCCTTCCCTGCAAACTCCTTCTGGTCATCTCCGGGCACAGCTGGGTTGGGTGGTCACTTTTGGGAGCTACAAAAAGTATGCATGGGCTAGGATCCAAACAAGAGATCCTGAAAATTCTAGAAGCCTTTTCTCCTCACAGCTCACCCAGAAGATGGTTTGTGTCCTTGTGTCTCTCAG